TGCCTAAACAGTTTTGGGCAGATGCCGTGTCTACTGCATGTTTTTTGATAAATCGAATGCCATCTTCTGTTTTGAATGGTAAAGCTCCTTATCATTGTCTATTTCCAAACAAAGAGCTTTTTCCTATCCCACCTAAAATATTTGGTTGCACTTGTTTTGTTAGAGATGTTAATCCTCATCTTACAAAGTTAGATCCCAAATCATTAAAATGTATTTTCTTGGGTTATTCTCGTGTCCAAAAGGGGTATAGATGTTTTTGTCCGAGTACTGGTCGGTATCTTGTTTCTATTGATGCATCATTTCACGAAAATACACCTTTTTCATCATCTAAGGCAGATATTCATGAGAGTAATGATGATATACTCATTTACACGATGACTATTCCTGAGTCCACACTTTCGCCAAATATTCCACAAGTTACTGTTCCTGACCCTAGGCCTCCCGTACATTTGGTATACACCCGTCGACACAAAACACCTGATCACCCTCCACCGGCGATACCTGTGATTACTTATCCTGATACTAGTTCGACTCCGATCTCATGTCCTGAACCAGTACCTGCATCTTCAGATCTTGTCTCCACATCAGATCTTGACCTCCCAATAGCACTACGTAAAGGTACGCGGTCTTGTACTCATCCTATTTCTTCATTTGTGTCGTACAATCAGTTATCTCCTGCTTCATGTTCTTTTATCGCTTCCATTGATTCTATTTCTGTTCCCAAATCTGTCAAAGAAGCTTTGTCTCATCCCGAATGGCGTCATGCCATGGTAGAGGAAATGAATGCTTTAGATCTTAATGGTACTTGGGATTTGGTTGACTTGCCTACAGGGAAGAAATCTATTGGATGTAAGTGGGTCTTTGCTGTTAAGGTTAACCCAGACGGATCTGTTGCTCGGTTGAAAGCCCGATTAGTTGCGAAGGGTTATGCTCAAACCTATGGTGTTGATTATTCTGACACTTTTTCTCCTGTTGCTAAATTAACATCTGTCAGGTTACTTATTTCACTCGCTGCAACTCATGATTGGCACTTACATCAGTTGGACATTAAAAATGCATTTTTGCATGGTGACCTTAAGGAAGAAGTCTATATTGAGCAACCTCCGGGATTTGTTGCTCAGGGGGAGTGTGGTAAAGTTTGTCGACTTCGCAAATCTCTTTATGGTCTGAAACAGAGTCCTCGTGCATGGTTTGGTAAATTCAGTCAATCAATTGAACAATTTGGAATGATAAAAGGCAAATCAGATCACTCTGTCTTTTACAAACAAACAGAATCAGGTGTCACATTGCTTGTGGTGTATGTTGATGATATTGTGATTACAGGGAGTGATAATGCAGGTATTTTGGCCCTTAAGAATTTTCTGCATAGTCAATTCCAGACGAAAGATCTTGGCTCTTTGAAATACTTTCTGGGAATTGAGGTAACACGAAGTAAGAAAGGCATATTTCTATCTCAACGTAAATATGTACTTGACTTACTAGCTGAGACAGGGAAATTAGGGGCAAAACCAAGTACAACAGCCATGGTTCCCAACGTGCAACTCACTCAAGAAGGCACACCGTTTGAAGACCCAGAAAGATATAGAAGACTGGTTGGAAAGCTTAATTATCTCGCAGTCACTCGTCCAGATATTGCTTATTCTGTGAGTGTAGTGAGTCAATACATGTCATCTCCAACCATTGATCATTGGGCTGCAGTAGAACACATATTATGTTACTTAAAGGGTGCACCAGGACGAGGTATTGTTTATCAAAATCATGATCACATGAGAATAGAATGCTTTGCAGATGCTGATTGGGCCGGTTCTAAAGATGATCGAAGATCTACATCTGGTTATTGTGTCTTTGTTGGTGGTAATCTTGTATCTTGGAAGAGTAAGAAGCAGAATGTGGTTTCTCGTTCGAGTGCCGAATCAGAATATCGAGCTATGGCACAATCTGCATGTGAGATCATATGGATAAGCCATCTATTGACCGAGCTCGGACTGAAGACATCAATACCTGCTAAATTGTGGTGTGATAACCAAGCTGCTATACACATAGCAAACAATCCTGTATTTCATGAGAGAACAAAGCATATTGAGGTCGATTGTCATTTTATTCGAGAGAAGATACAAAAAGGATTGATCTCTACAGGATATGTGAAGACTGGAGAACAACTTGGAGATTTGTTCACTAAAGCACTAAATGGAATTCGAGTTGGTTATTTATGTAACAAGTTGGGCATGATAAATATCTATGCTCCAACTTGAGGGGGAGTGTGAAAGTATATTAGAATATACTTTAGAATATGCTTTAGAATATATTAGGAATATACCATATATAGTATTATTGAATAGCATCTTTTATAGGAATATTCTATCTTTGTAATCTATATTTATAGGGCTTTACCTTTCAATGAAAAATACAGAAAATTCTTCTCTCCATCTTTAATATCATTCTAGTTTATATTTCAACATAGGATATACTCCGTACTTGTTGACCTTTCTGTTTCCCTCATTCGTTGTACCTGTTCGTCGTTCAACTTCTTCGTCCGCTCTCCGCTGCTCCACCTCGCCAGTCGCCGACCTTGACTCCGGACTCTGCGTCGCTTCCTCGCGCCCTCGCAGTGGGCGCCGTCTCCACTCGCCATCCCTGCCCGGCTGCCCTGTGTGACTGCGTCACGAACTTCTAAGTCCGAACTTAGAAGGGCGAAGGCCGCAGCGGTGTCCAGTTACATAATTTGGGTAAGTCCGTAAGTTTGATAATTAATTTTAAAATTGATTCTGTTATAATTACTTTAATGGCGTATTTGGTTTAATTAATTCTTTATTTAAAATTGCTTGTTCGGGGAGAAAGTCAGTTGCTTATTTGCTTAGATTGGGTAAGGATGTTTTTACTTGGACTGTAATTTGTCCCAGATCAGACCAGTCCAGACCAGACCAGACCAGTTCAGACCAGACCAGACTTGGATAGTTATAAAAATACAAAGATACCAGACCTTACCAGACCAGTTCAGACCAGACCAGACCAGATCAGACCAGACCAGCAAATTACAGTCCAAGTAAAAACATCCTAAGTCCGCAAGTTTGTGACTTTGTATAATTGATTAATTAGTTTATTTTGAATTTTAGTTGATTATAACTATTTAAAAATTTGAATTTTGAAGTTGAATTTTTTTTTAACTTGTTAGGTTACGCATGTGGTCATGTCTATTTTACAAATTGTAATGCGAAGCGTTAGGTCTTCTAGGCGAGATTATGCAACGTTTTCAACATATGCAAACACGCCCTACACAATTGTCTCAATTCGTTTCTTCGTCTAACATGTAATTGTAATGTTATGTACTCTTCTCACAGATTTTTGTTTTGTAAACTTTAATAACAATTTATATTTTTGTATTTTATCGTACGTTTCAGCCACCCCTTTATTTTCGTTCTGGTTCCGCCACTCTTAACATCTTGTGATGTTGTGAAACCCCTATTTGTTATAAACTTATACTCCGTAATTACGGAAAATTTACACGAAACACGAATTAAACAAGCACAATACATGCAAAATTGCAAAGTAACTTAGATTTTTTAATTTTTTACACTCGTTTTGTTTCTTTCTTTCCTATATACTGATAACGTACTAATTGATATACTACTCCTTCCGTTCTCAAAAATACTTTTCACTTTCCTTTTTGGATCGTTTCCAAAAATACTTCTCACTTTCCCTTTTTGGACAACTTGTGTCGCTCATATTCATTTTACCTTTTTCTTACACAATCACAACCATACATTTCCACTTTATTTCACTTTCTTGATAAGCGCGCCAAGTCAAATCGGGAAGGATTTTTAAGAACGGAAGTAGTATTTCATACGAGGTACACATTTGATGAAGTTTAATTCCAACTACAAAAGCTTATCCTTGAAAATAGAGTATTTGGGCTGCGTTAGACAATATATTATTATTTGAAAAAATGGATCTCTTTTAAGTTAAGTACATGAAGTACATAAAGCTACAGTAGCTAGCCTAAGGAGACATAACCGGTACATTAAATGGGTCTAATCAGGATAGGCAGTTGCGGACCCAGAAAAATAGAGCCATGGAGTCTCTACTATAATGTTAGCATGTTACTCTAGTTAATATAAATAAAACAAGTAACATCATAAAAGGACGCAACTTCTTAAAAGGGAATTAATATGGTAAACAAAATGTAGCGTACGCTCCTATCTAGTATCCCATAATTCCGCATTTATTACTCCTTTATGTCAACGTATATTCCGTTAAATCTCTGCCGGCTGCCACCGCCAGATAGCCATATGCACAATGGATGACTTGCAACGTAAATCCTAGCTAGGGCGTGAGTTCGACCTCGCTAGAATCTTGCCTAGCCTTGAGGGTTGCTAATCAGGCCAGCCTGGATGCGGGTTCCTTTCGTGGGTCACAGTTCCCTACTAGGCCCAATTAGCTTTGTTAATTCCGTACAGCGGGCTTCGCGTGTGATCTGCAGTTGGGTCATGGTTATATTCCATGATTCGATTAACATTAAATTCCCGAACTGAGTAATTGTTTTATTTTACAAAATATTGTTTGGCTCTAGATTCCTGAAGAGATTAATTAAGTTGAAGTATTTTCATATACTTCAATGAGATGTTTACAACACGCATACACATACAAATTTCAAACTAATAATGTTTTACACTGTGCATTAATTTTTTACTTTATTTATCTAACTTTTATCAAATTTAATTTTTTTGATAAGATATTATAAAATAATGTAGTTTCTTAATATGTAAATTTTATTTACTAAAAATAATCCTATTAATGACAAAGATCAGTTAACCTTATTTTCAGTCGAGCATCATAAACGGCGTGAGAACATTGAAGAAGAAGCGTGACAAATATGATCCATATCTGTCACTTCCTACTCTGACGGTCTAGAAGCGCATTATAATAATTACATAAAATGTTAGTCGTATGATTCATTGAAATGCGAACCAACAATGAATTACCCGAGTACTAAAAAGCTAACAACAAATTCAACAGAAGGATAAGTACGGACAATCCGTAGTTGAACATCGATGAAGACCGCCCTTTATCATCACCATTATTGTCATTTTGAACTAAGTTTGAGGAACAATTGTAGGGACATGGGTATTTGTCTACTACTTGAACACTTCTTCGATCAAAATACCAATCTCCAAACAATTTTGATATTGTCTGCAAAGATCCAGAAATTATCACATTATTCACTCCTTAATTGGTACTGTATATTCTAAAACCAAAAAGTATCCGTAATCCATGTATGTATGTATATACATAAACAATGTGTTTCAAATGAAGTGTTTCTTAACATGTGAACTAATCCTTGCCGTAGCTTTGATTTAATAAAATGGAAGAATCAAAACAGCATTAAAATCGCATTGACATTGTTATATACTTGTATATCTAGTATACCTCATTACTCCCATCTACGACCATGTCAGAATTCCATGCATCATTTGAAAGTTGTTCATGAAGTTTGGGAGAGGTAATTAAGATCCCTCTTGATGAAATAGTACCCTTTTGTTTGGGCAAGACACTCAGAAACTCCAATCTCAAATCTGTATATAACAAACACGATACATCATTAAAAACACATAAGAATAATTGATGTTTTTAAGTTTTAATTGATACGGAGTACAATCACTACAATGTATATATGATTAATTAAGATTCCTACCTCCAACTCTAAATACTAAATTTAGAAATATAATAAACAAGTTTTTAGACAGAATGGAAACATGGTATCTTTATTCTTTACGTACGTATGAAATCTTGTATTTTTAAAATGGATTTTACAACACCAACCTTGCAAGGTTTTAATAATCTCATTTGAGCAGTTATGAGATGTGAGACATGGTGTTATACTATTGTCTCTAGGAAACGTCCATGTTATCTGAACATTAAAACAATTCCAGAGTTAATTAGAACACAATATAATAAAGCACATATTAAAAATTAAGATCACATCAGATTGAATTATTGTAACCTGAACAGTGTCAAAAGCTGACATCAAGAAGAAGATGGGCGTTTTTATATGTTGTTGCACATTCTGAGGGAAGAAACACTACGAAACAAAGATTCATTATATATTTTTGGTGAATATATATTATGTTATGATTAGGCAAAGATAAACGATAAATTAAGAGCAAGAACACAAGAATTTATGTGGTTCACACAATCGGTTTGATTGTGCTAGTCCACGGCGAACGAGAGAGAGGATGTATTATTATCGGCGTCCCAACAGATTTACAAGTACATAAGAGTCGTTTAAATAGGTTTAAGAAAACCTAAACTGAGATTAGAGCCGCAGGCCCTGATTAAATTAAGGCCCGTAATTAAAAATTCCCGTAGACCCGGTCGGGTGCCCTCCTTGACCCGGTCGGGTCTCTTCACAGAAATCATGCCCGGGTTGATACCAGGGCGGGTATCCAAAACAGAAGCTAAAGCCATCACTGACCCAGTCGGGTACATCTCCTGACTCGGTCGGGTCTCACGTTCCAGTGAGTTCCCAAGTTTCTGCTTCAACATACCCGGTCGGGTAACCCCAACTTACCCAGTCGGGTAACTGCTCAGAAAAAGCAAAACAAGACTCCATCTTCAACAATCTCCCACTTAGAGGCTTGGTCAACAATTATCTGCCATCCAAGAACATGTATCTTCTGTAAAATCCCTGATCTCTCTCTCTCTCTCTCTCTCTCTCTCTCTCTCTCTCTCTCGTCCACGCCTTCTCATCAAGTATCTGAAAGGCCCGTTGAAGCCATGCATAGCTTCAACTTCTCCGTTGTCACCGCCTTGGTAAGCATGTCTGCTGGATTCTTTGTACCAAGGATCTTCTTCAAACTTATAGTACCATCTTCAATCAGTTCTCGAATGAAATGATACCGCATCTTGATGTGTTTCGTTCTGCTGTGAAACACCGGATTCCTTGCGAGATGAATAGCACTCTGGTTGTCACAATATAGACCGCAATCTCCCTGCTTCATGCCCAACTCTGAAAGAAAGTTCTTCAACCAGATCAACTCCTTGGCCGCTTCAGCAATAGCCATATATTCTGCTTCTGTGGTTGAAAGAGCTACGCTCTTCTGTAATCTAGACATCCAACTGATTGCCGTACCTCCAATAGTAAATATGTAACCCGTAATGCTCTTCCCGGAATCATGACAGCCCCCCAAATCAGCATCTGCAAATCCTTCTAGAATTACACCATTCCTCCTGAAACATAGGGCAGTTTCAGAAGTACCTTTCAAGTAGCGCAACAGCCACTTAACTCCTTCCCAATGTTCCTTCCCTGGATTTGACATGAACCTGCTAACAACTCCCACTGCATGAGCAATGTCTGGCCTTGTTGACACCATCGCATACATCAAGCTGCCAACGGCTGATGCATAAGGAACTTTAGCCATTTCTTTCTTGTCTTCATTGGTCTTTGGAGACTGCTGCTTGGAGAGTTTCAACTGACTCCCTAACGGTGTACTCCTTGGCTTGGCATCCGTCATTCTGAACTTCTCAAGGACCTTCTGAATGTACATTTGCTGTGAAAGCTTTAAAGTACCTTCCACCTTGTCTCTGACTATGCTCATCCCAAGAATCTGTCTCGCCTCCCCTAAATCCTTCATCTCAAATTCTTCGAACAACTTCTTCTTGAGCTTGTTGATCTCCTGCATGTTTGCTCCAGCCACCAACATGTCATCAACATACAAAAGAAGAATAATGTATGATGACTCGAATTTCTTCAAGTAACAGCAGTGGTCCATCTTGCATCTAGTGTACCCATTCCGCTACATAAAACTGTCAAACTTCAAGTACCACTGTCTAGGAGCTTGCTTCAGTCCGTATAGACTCTTCTTGAGTTTGCACACCAACTTCTCCTTACCACTCACTGGGAAACCTACTGGTTGAGCCATGTAAATGTCTTCTTCAAGGTTGCCATGAAGAAAGGCAGTCTTTACATCCAGCTGCTCCAAATGCAAATTTTCAGCAGCAACGATACCAAGGATCAACCTGATAGTAGTCATCTTCACAACCGGAGAGAAGACTTCATTGTAATCAACTCCCTTATTCTGTTGGAACCCTTTGACAACTAACCTCGCCTTGTATCTTTTGCTTCCATCCGCTTCATCTTTGATTCTGAACACCCACTTGTTCTCCAAAGCTTTCTTTCCCGGTGGTAGCTTGACTAAGGACCAAGTTTGGTTCTTGTCAAGTAAATCTAACTCATCCTCCATGGCCTTCTTCCACTATATGGAATCTTTCATGGTCAGCGCCTCTGAGTAAGATTCTGGCTCTCCATTTTTGGTCAGCAACAGGTAGTTAGCTAAGGAGAATATCTGTTAGGAGGTCTTCTGATTCTAGTGGACTGTCTAACGTGTGGAGTAGTTGCCTCTGAAGTCTCACCATCTTCATCACTCCCACTATCTTCAGACATTCCTGTATCTCCTGAGCTCCCACTGCTCCATGAGCCTCCAGTCATCTCATCACAACTAACAGGTTGTGCTATGTCATCTTCAGTCATCCCATCAAACACCACTTGCTGTTTGATTTCTGGTTGTTTGCCTTTGCTCGTATCTACTGCAAGACCATCTTTATATAGGGCATTCTCGTTGAAAGTGACATCTCTACTTCTGATAACCTTCTTGCTGTGGTTGTCCCAGAACCTGTAGCCCATGTCATCCATCCCGTACCCAATAAAGATACACTTCTTTGCCTTTGCCTCGAGCTTGTCACTATTTGCATCTCTATCTTTGACATAAGAAATACAACCAAAAACTTTCAAGTGAGTAAGAGATACCTCTCGACCTTTCCATTCCTCTTCTGGAATTTTGAAACCTATGGGAGATGAGGGTCCTCTGTTGATCAAGTACGCTGCTGTGTTCACCGCATTGGCCCAGAACATTTTGGAAAGTCCTGCATGCAATCTCATGCTCATGGCCCTCTCATTTAGTGTTCTGTTCATCCTCTCTGCAACACCATTTTGCCACTAGTACAAAAAAGGCTTTTCACATCGGTCAAAAAAGACTTTTCACATCGGTCAAATAACCGATGTTGTTCCAGCACATGTGAAAAGTCGAGCTTTTAAACATCGGTTAAACAGCCGATGTGAAATCTTATGCTACATCGGTCGTGCGGCAACCGATCTTGAAGGTTGTCCAGAAAGGCGTTCTAAATGTTATTCCACATCGGTTATAACCGATGTGGAATTTTCACATCGGGTATAAAACAACCCATGTGGAAGAGCTTCCCGGAACAAAGGATTTTCACATCGGTTATAACCGATGTAAAAAAACTTTCACATCGGTTATTTTTATCAACCGATGTGAAACACTTCAATTTTTCCGGAATATATGGTTTTTACATCGGTTATAACCCATGTAGAAAAACAATCACATCGGTTATAACCCATCAGTTTCAACTGATGTGAAAAGCCTCGATTTTTTCGGTAATTTTGCAAAAAAAAATTGCAATATGACCCCCATTTATACTATAATCACACCATTAACAGTATCACCAACTACTATAACACAATTTTTTCACCTGTTCACACGATCAATCTAAAACAACACAAGCTATTTTTCAATTCTTCCACAAAACTTAAACAAGTTTAAGTAATAATTTAGTACATAATAATAAGCTAAAATATAACAATCCTTAGCTTGCACAAGTCTAGAGTAATAACAAATTGTAAAAAGTTACAAGTCTCATAATCACTCAAAAACTTAAACAAACACGTTCATCATGTGTCGTTGATGGATTGCGTCATTTCTAAGAAATATGATGCCCAACGAGTTCGTAGTTCATCAATCTCTTCTGATGAGAATGGTTCCGGATTGGCGAATCGCTACAATTCAAATAAGAAGGTTATTAAAAACATTACATGGATCAAAAATATTGGATGCAAATAAAATAATAAAGTACCTCATCCCACATTTCAAGAATTACCGCCGAAACAATATTCAACATATGCAGCATCACATAATACCCACATTCATAATTCCCAACTTGCATTCGAGACTACAAGTTAGAACAACATAATTACTAATCAGGAATTACGGTATTCGACTTGGTGCTACACAAATAGAAGTAAAAATAACATACAAAGTATAATAGTAAGTACTTACCACAGGAATAATCCATTTCACTTTTCCCTTTCTTGAGTTGAGCCTACGGCTTGCCTCCATTGCACTATGTAATTTATAATATTAAATATATATATATATATATAATAAATGATTTATGTCATTAAGATATACAATATATATTCCAAAATTAAATAAAACAGAATGTACAAAATACTTACGCATCAATAATATTTTTGAATTGTCTATTTGGCTTATTCCCTAAAGAACACAAGAAGACAATAGTGTTTTGGACAGGAGAGAGAATAAAGAGCTGCCAATGATTCCTGTATACATAAAAAGCAAGATAAACGACAAACAATAATTAAAAAATACATAAAAAATATTTTATACAAGATGAGGGGTATTTTAAAAGTGACTTCAGCTTCAATAAATACGTGTTCTAGTAATTTTTACTCACTGATAGTAATAAGGAGCCAAGTAACATTGCTTTCCGCCTTCATTTAATCTTGTAGATATATACATTTGCACTTCATTTATAGAATTGCCTACTCCTTGAATGGTGTGTGGATCAATGAATCCATACACGTGACCAATATTTCTGGATATGCACAAGCGATGTAGATATCTAACACAAAAAAGTTCAAGTAAATAAAATAATATTTTAAGTAATCTAATGAGTAATATTAAAATAGAGATAACTTACAATATCCACACTTGTAAAATAATCGCGCTAAGGAGATCTCTACCCATGGAAACTTCAACCAATTCTCTAAAACTACAATGGCTTACTATAGGTGCACGTCCTATCACATCTTCGGGCAAATACACTGGTACAGTATCTGACCCCAAGCTCTTAGCAAATAAACACAAACTCGACAAAGGATCATCTACAACATCGGACCTCAATTTAGCATGTGTCTTCTGCACAAATAGGGCATGCTTTATGGCCCTTGTTACTATAACCAGATAAATTTCCATATGCCGGAAAGTCATTGATTGTGCAAAATAGCATTGCACGCATCTTAAAGTACTCCTTGCAAGAACTATCGAACACGTCAACACCAACATCCCATAGCATTCTCAAATCTTCAACCAAAGGAGCTAGATAAACATCTATGTCATTTCCTGGTTGTTTTGGACCAGAAATCAACAATGATAACATTACATATTTGCGCTTCATGCACAACCAAGGACTCAAGTTATAAATAATCAACATAACAGGCCATGAACTATGTTGACTACTCAAGTTACCAAAAGGATTCATTCCATCTGAAGCAAGACCAAGTCTCAGGTTTCTTGGCTCATTGCCAAAGTCAGGAAATAACTTATCAATGTTCTTCCATTGCAAAGCATCAGCCGGATGGCGAATCATGCCATCACATTTCCTTTCTTCTGCATGCCACCTCAGTTTCTTTGCATCATTTGCATTGGCAAACAATCGTTTTAGCCTCGGAATAATGGGAAGATACCATAGCACCTTTGCAGGGGAACCCTTTGTAGTCACCACATCAGAATCACATTCATCGCTCTTAACTTTATATCGTGACACTCCACAAGTAGGGCACTTGTGCAGGTCTTCATACTCTTTTCGATAGAGTATACAATCATTAGGACATGCATGTATTTTCTTGTACTCCATACCCATCGGACACAAAATCTTCTTCGCCTCGTAATTCCGGTCGGGCAATGTGTTCCCTTCGGGTAGCATGTCTTTTAATAACTGGAGCAACTCAGTGAAACTTTTATCAGTCCAACCATTTGTTGCTTTGATATTGAAAAGTCTTAACACTGTTGTCAACCGTGTGAACTTAGTGCAACCCGGATACAATGGCACCTCAGCGTCAGCACACAACTTATCATATACATGCGCCCGTGCGAATGACTCAACACCGAAATCACGTATCATGTCATCCATATGATCATATGTATCTCCACGCACTTCCTCCCTGTGTGAAGACATACTTGGCATTTCAACCGACTCACCATGCCTAATCCACTTTGTGTAGCTTTTACAAAATCCATCACAAATAAGATGCTCTCTTATAAGCTCAACATGCAGTCTTCGCAAGTTTATGCATTTAACACATGGACAATAAAATTTATTATTACTGTCAGGAAGATTTTTCTGGGCAAATTCTAGAAACTCTTGCACTCCATTTTCATACTCAACACTAGTCCGTCTAGAATTTATCCAACTACGATCCATAATCACGGTACCTTCTGTAACATATTCAAACATATCATTTAAAACTTATATGAGATGATGACTTAAATGAAATGGATATGTCGAAAAATTACAAAAAGAACTTCATTAATAACACACAAAAAAGAATTTAAAAATATGATTAAACACATTCGTATATAACAAAGTAATACTAAATAAGGATGCAATATACTCCGTAATTACAGATTTTTGACATTCAAATCACAGGTAGAATAATAGGATGCATGATTACTTTGAAGTCTTAAAAATATAAACAAGTGGTCATTATTATCCCTATTTGGTTCAAATTTAAGTCCCTGATACACAATGATACTATAATCTAACATGGGATTAGTATACGTAACTAAACAAATTGAAAAAAAAACTCCCAGTAGTTGATCCTCCCCTCATTTTAGTCTACCTAATATGAAACATTTTTCCCCAGAATACCTAAAATAACCTGCCCAAAGTTAAACTGCAACATCATCAATTTTTTCTACACTAATTTGTATTTACGCTTCAATTAACCTGATATAAGTTAATGAAGCATTGTATCTAATTCTTTGTTTTTTTTTCCCAGAATACAAAAGTTTCATTACTTCCAATGTAATGAAGCATTGTATCTAATTCTTTGCTTATTTAGATGGAGTATTATTAGAAGATGCTTATATCTTCTGATCATTTTTTCTCTTTTTTTTCTCTTGACTGTCAGAAACTTTGATATATATCAATAACGGTTGTGGATTCAGAATATGGAGTGGATGAGCACCATGTCAAGAGCAGGTCCTTGCCTCTATCTACCCTTATTGACATTGTTAAGCAAAAAACTGGTAAGGATGACATTGATGTTGGTAAGATCAGGCCAGCTTTTTTGATGTCTTTGGAGAAGATTCCAGTCCTAAGGTGAAGAAGTTCATGAATGTCATTCTTAATAAACTGCATTATCAAGGTGAAGAAGGGGGTGGAGGCGGTGGCTTTATGGGCATGGTTAGCGGATTGGCTGTCGATTTCCTAAAGAATAAGCTTGAGCAAAACGATGATGGTGACAGTTATTTGAAACCTGCTCTTGAGACAGAGGTGGGGAGTAAGCAAGAGGTCTATGCAAGCAGTGCTTCTGCACTCGGCCTACAAATAATTAAGGCCCATAATTTCTTAAGAAAAAGCAGTAGTATATACTAGTATGCATATTTAATAGGAATTCAAGAGCCCAACTAAAAAATAGGAGTAGTAATAAAGAAAGAACTAAAAGGTCCTTACGTACGTGTATCAAAGCTCGACAGCCCAAATTTCCAACTCCCAAGCATCAAACCCACAAATCCCACAGAAAAGAAAGTGGGCTATGCAACAAATTTTCACACTTCAGAGCTTCTGGCCAAGTTTTTTCAATAAATCAAGAAACACAATCGGACCTGTAAGTTATTTTCTTAGAATCTTCTGTTCTTCATCTTCATTCTTCTTACTTGATCAACCGAGAAGACTGGGTGCTCGGCCAAACAGGTTAACAAACTCCTCTTTTTAGAATTTTTTTAATTTACTTGTTTTCAAAATTTATTGCGAGTATGAAATTACTGCGTATCTTTGGTTCTTGATTCAACAATTCGGTATTTTCATTATTTCAATTCTTTGCAACCAGATTTTTCTGCGCTTTTTAGAAAGTCGAGTTTTTCTTCGTATGATTTGAAGTGTACAAGTGTTAGAGAAGCTCGTTGCTTTGTGATATCACTGTTCTTTCGACTTTTTGTCTTTGTTGCATTATACCTTCCTCAAATATCAGGTTGTTTCATTCCTTTTTCATTGTTTGATTTTGACTGATTCCGGTTGTTTCATTTTGAAAGATTTATGTTTCATTCGGAATTTGTTGTGTTGGTGTCTTGTTCATAAGCTCATTATGCCTCTTGGAATGAAAAAATACGAATTAGGCTATGACAAGTTACAGAAGAAAAAGAAAACATGATGCATTTATTAAGTCTCAAAAAGGTGCTCTTGATAGCCATAGAGAATGATATTTTGGAGAAAGTAGACTACCAAGAGTTCGTTGATGAGTTTGCTTCCAGAAATGCTAGGAGAATAGCTCTTTTTACTTAGATGTTTGATTAGGTATAAAACTTTTTTGTATAAGCTCTTCAGCTTAATTGTAAGAATATCTAGTATTTTGATATTCCAGATTATTAAGATAAAATATCAAATGTATGATAACATTTTTCAAATATTTTGTTCATGACTACTACTACGTACGGAGTATTATATAAGGCCCATTTTTTGTAATCTGCACAGGGACTTTATAGACTAGAGACGGCCCTGAAGCTAAGTGGTGTCGCCTTCATCCATTTTTTTTTTTAAGAATGCTTATCCATTTGGACTTTGCCCGGAAAAGGTATTTACAATTGAGAAATCATTAAAAGCATAAGATTGGGGACAACAATAGACCAAAAAGTATCAGCAAAAAAACCCTCAGATGTGTGCTAGCGTGGCTGTAAACTAGTAATGGTCATTTCATTTGTTGATATTAAATGATTGCGACAACAAGTGTTGTTGTCTTCTGTGAAAAAACCTGGTTGTTTAGGTTGGGGCAAAACACCTTCATTATTCAACATTAGGATGACGGAAGACATGTTTGGCCTGTCTTCAGGACGCTGCTGAACACATAATAGAGCCACATCGCCTTCATCCATTCATTCATGACAATTAAGAAGCTAAGGAAGCTGCCTTTGGCCATTCATACCACACATCATACCAACCAGCTAGGTTGCTATTTATAGACAGAACTGCCCCAAAGGACAGATGTCTGCAAATTTATGATTTGAAGCCCTGAATTGGTGGGTTTAGATCCTACTCCACAGAAATGGAGGGCAAAGACAAAGACACAACATATGACATGTGAGTTTGTGTGTAGGTTAAGAGGATGAAAGGAGCCCAGAATAAGCTTTCTAATAGTTGAAATATGAAGTACTCATTCCAGAATTATGAAGTATTCAATCCCTAACAGCAGATTTAAGACATTTACTTTCAAATTTAACAACCGAATCTTGGTAAAAATAGTTGAGAAAAACAATAAGATTATACCTTAGAAAACAGGCAACTGACGAAAGTCCGCTGGCTCAAAGGTAGGCCGAAGAGGAAGGTTCGCCTGCTCGAACTCTGAAAGCCGCTGGAATGCTGTCTGCTCGAAGACCTGTTTTTGCTCGAACGCTTCCCGCCGTCTGCTGGAGCGACGTCCGCCGTCCTCTCGACTCTCAATCGCCGTTTGCTTCCGCTCGAGCGCCGTCCTCTGGCAGTTCGAACGCCGACCGCTCGGAGTCCGTCCAAAGCCCTAACTCGCTTTGGAGCGGACGGCTCTAACTTGCCCTTCTGTCTCTGCTCTTTCTTTCCTTCACGCAGATAGAAATCGACAAGTGCAGGCGCGAATTTTTTTTAATTCATCCAGATCGGGTAACACCGATCTAGAAGAAGAGCGATTCTTTTTTTTTTTTAATTTCTTCCGCATCAGTTTTAACCGATGTAAAATAAAGTTCCATTAATTATGAAAATTACCCCGTTTTTGTTTTCACATCAGTTGCAACTATAACCGATTTAGATTATTTCTTAAAATTTTAAAAAGTACCCCGTTTTGCTATTTCACATGGGTTATAACAACAACCTATGTAAAAAAGTTTATTAAAATTATAAAAATGACCCCGTGTTAGTATTCTACATGTGTTTTAAAATAACACATGTAGAAAAGGAGATGTAAAAAGCCTTTTTTGTACTAGTGTGCTGTGGTGTTTCTGGAACCGTTTTCAGCATTCTGATCCCCTGTTCAGCACAATAATCTACAAACTCTGTGCTACTGTACTCACCCCCATTATCACTCTTTAAACACTTAATCTTGAGATTTGTTTCATTCTCAACTGCAGCCTTGAACTTCTTGAAAGTGTTAAAGACATCAGATTTATTCTTAAGAAAATAAACCCATACCTTCCGTGTAGAGTCATCAATGAATGTAACATAGTACCGGGAACCTCCAATCGAAGAGACCTTTGTGGGTCCGTAGACATCTGAATGAATCAACTCCAGCCGCTCAGTCTTGGGTTGTTGTCTTGTCTTCACAAAGGTTACCCTCTTTTGCTTGCCTAGAACACATGGCCCACAAAAGCTCAACTTTGAATTCTTCAAATCTGGGATTTTGCCCTTTGAAGACAGCATCTTCATTCCGTTCTCACTTATGTGCCCAAGTCTTTGATGCCACAAAGTAGAGACCCCTGTATCTTCAACTGCTGCGTTTGCTCCATCTGTGGACACTTCAACCATGTACAGTGTACCATGCTTCTGTCCACGAGCAATGACCAGCTTTCCCTTTTTCACCTTCCATTGCTTGTTGCCAAAACTAACGTTATGGCCTTCCTCATCAAGCTGTCCCACTGAGATCAACATCTTCTTCAAGTCTGGAATATACCTTACATCTTTCAACCTCCAGGTTGTACCCAAAGTGGTACTGAGATCAACATCCCCAATACCCGTGATCTCCAGGGATTTGTCATCCGCCAAACGAACTCTTCCGTTGTAGGGCCTGAAATTTTTCATCAAATCCCTGCAATGACAAGCATGAAACGACGCACCTGAATCCATGATCCAGGACTCAATTGAATTCTCAACGCTGCAAATTAGAACATCTTCATAGTCCTCTGTCACGTTCACCTCCTTCTTGCCTTTGTCTGCAGAGGCTTTTGGGCAATGATTTCTGAAGTGTCCATTCTCCTTGCAATTCCAACAATTGATGTCCTTCCTGTTCTTGGATTGACCTCTCTTCCTCAACTTTGATCTTCCCTTCTTGTTACCCCCTCTAGTGGATTTTCTGCCCCTATCTTCAGTACTCAACAAACTATTGGAGCTATCCCCCGAACTTCTTCTCCGGATGTCCTCACCAAGGATTAAGTCACGAATACCTTCAAAGGTAAGCTTAGTGGTTCCAGATGAACTACTAACCGCTGTGACTGTACCGGACCAACTATCGGGCAAAGATGATAACAAAAGTAATGCTTGAACTTCATCATCGAATTTAATCTCAACCGAGCCTAACCTGGATATGATTGAATTAAACTCGTTGATGTGATCTCTCACGGATGCACCTTCCTTCATCCTTGTGTTCACCAACTGTCTGATTAAGAAAACCTTGTTGGCCGCTGAGGGTTTCTCGTACATATTGGATAACGCCTTGAGCAGTCCAAACGTTGTCTTCTCGTTGACGATGTTGTAAGCAACGTTTTTCGCCAACGACAACCTCACCACACCAAGGGCCTGTCGATCCAACAAGTTCCATTCCGCTTCCGCCATAGATTCTGGTTTGTTCTCAAACAAGGGTAGATGAAGCTTCTTCTGGTAGAGATAATCCTCGATCTGCATCTTCGAGAAAGCGAAATCTTGACCATCAAATTTATCGATCTTAACCTTCCCTTCGTCAGCCATAGCTCTGATACCAATTGTTACGATTAGGCAAAGATAAACGATAAATTAAGAGCAAGAACACAAGAATTTACGTGGTTCACACAATCGGTTTGATTGTGCTAGTCCATGGCGAACGAGAGAGAGGATGTATTATTAGCGGCGTCCCAACAGGTTTACAAGTACATAAGAGTCGTTTAAATAGGTTTAAGAAAACCTAAACTGAGATTAGAGCCGCAGGCCCTGATTAAATTAAGGCCCGTAATTAAAAATTCCCGTAGACCCGGTCGGGTGCCCTCCTTGACCCGGTCGGGTCTCTTCACATAAATCATGCCCGGGTTGATACCAGGGCGGGTATCCAAAACAGAAGCTAAAGCCATCACTGACCCGGTCGGGTACATCTCCTGACCCGGTCGGGTCTCACGTTCCAGTGAGTTCCCAGGTTTCTGCTTCAACATACCCGGTCGGGTAACCCCAACTTACCCGATCGGGTAACTGCTCAGAAAAAGCAAAACAAGACTCCATCTTCAACATATTATTGTTGGAAGAAGAACTTAGCAAATAGATAGAAAATACGAAGTACTGTATGAAGCAACAGGTAACTGTTGCACCGCACCATTCAATAAATTTAGCATTGATATTTCTTTCATTATAAGTTTATTTACACATAAAATTAATTTAAGAAATTGCTTCATTACCAGATATGGACTAAATTTAGACGTGCACGCTTTTGGTAACGCCTTTATTGATCCCTGCTTAATTCATGCATATAGTACAGTAAAATAATAAGAGTACTTTCACATATACAAATATCCAAAAGAAATGTATCGATTATTACTAGTATTATGCATGGTTAATGGATTAATAAATAATTAATGGATTAATAAATAATGAATGCATGTCTTTGTTCTTAATTAAGTACGTGTTAGGCGCACTTAAGCAACAATGTCATCGTTCATTTTCTGTAATTGTAATTAGTTAAAGTAAAAAGAAAGATAGCCATTACATGTTTCATCGCGATTAGTCCTTGAAAGATTGGTGTAAAAATCTCCCCTTGATCCTCAAACCTTTTTCTGTATGCACACAATATAGATACGTCAATTATATTCGTGTCAAGTTTTGTCCGATCCCCATCATATATAATATAATAATTTCATTAGTTAACAATGTAAAATAAAATAGATCTTACGAGGGGAAAAAATATCCCGCATCAGACAGGCATTTTACTCTAGTTGCATTAGGCAAGAAATCACGAAACCCGTCGCAATGGATTGTAGCGGCAACTCCTCCGGCCGATCCACCAACAAGGAGAGCCTACAATAATTTACTACGTATTATATTTGTATGTAGTATTAATTATAATTGCTATTATTATTGAAGTACTATATTGCTTAAAAAATTCATTACTGTTTAACCATCTCAAAACTGTGAGAATTTTTTGCTATTATTTTCTTCAAAAAGTAAATTTGCCTCGTACTAGTAAATTTGCAATTAGTTGTCAAATGCTTACATTTTTTGCCATTTTCATTCCGAGCTTGTGATACACTTCTTGCATTACAGCCCTATAAATCCGTGCACCTCTAAAGTAGAGCTTCGTGCCCTGTATTTAAAAATAGCACTCTCATTTTAATGTAAATCTCTTAATTCAACGTGAGTAATTAAGACTAAAAACGATGATGTTGATAACAATTATAATTCTTAAGCAGGGGAAGACCCATGAAATTCATGTTGGGGGTTCAAAATATTTTTTTGGGGACGAAATTTATTTTTTGAGAGCAAAAATTATTTTTCTTATATATATACACTAAAAATAGATTTTGTTGGAGGGACGGTAACCCTCCTGGGTCTGTACTACGGTCCGCCCCTGTTCTTAAGAAATACTCCATAATATATATCATACGTTATACTCATAAGTTTTGGGCGAGTCTGATGTGAATGACGAGCCGTCACAATATCGAATCACGACCTTATTCCAGTTGTAGAAATCTAATAATTGCAAATGGCCCACAATAATTTGTTAGGAAATTATAGTACGTGTAAAGAGTATGTAATGTAATCGGATTGAAATTTGAGATTAGTTAACTACTAAGTGACCTACAAATATTTGTTCCTCTTAAATACGACGACGTATATTGTAGTGTGTACTTAATTACCTGGATTTTCACCCTTCTTGTTGCTCAGAATGTAACGAAAGTTGTACGGTTTAGGGTCTAGGGTAATATTTCTGGCGTGAGCATATTGGGCACAGTATGGGATATTGTTGCACCATGCTCCTCCCTTATTCCATGTAAAAAAGTTAAATGATTTATAGAGCAATAATGGTTATTTATTACGGAGTAATAATTACATGCACTTATAATTAACTATAGAACATGTACATGACTTTTTATTTATGGTGGCCATCTATAAGTCTATAATTATACGAACCTGAAGATATACCAACCAATTACCCATTCCACTGCTGAACCCATTGTCAAAGTAGTACGATGCAGGTTTTCCCGTCAAGCAAACTAAAAAAAATCATTAGTTTGATAGTTTCTATAGCTCCGTTAATAATAACAGTAGTAATTTAATACTAGTAATAATAATTATAATAGTAGTAGTAAGTAAACAAATAAAAACTCACCAGCTTCAGGATCACTGTGTACTAATGTAGCATTAACATAGTAGTCATCATTGCCTGAAAAAAATTAAATTAATTAGGTGCTACGTTAGTGCCTTAGTGGCATTTGAATTGAGAAGCTCATAATTTCTTGAAAGAAATAATAACTGTACGTAGTTAGAAGATAAAAATGGGGTCAAGATAGTTAATATTTTCAGAAAATGCCGAGGGTAATTACTATGAAACATATTTAGGTAGTTAAATACGGAGTATAGTGGGAGATTTTAAATTAAGTTACTCACCATCACATTTGCTGAGGAAAAATGCGGCATATAGTATTAGAGAGATGGACACAATCTGCAGGTACCCCATTTTGTGCTTCGATCTTATGAGATAATTAGTAAGAAAATTAAACAGAAGGCTGATGAGCTGAGCTAGGATATATATCATGCGAGAGTGTGAAGGAGCTGAGTAGAAACTGTCCGTATATATAGCAAAGGTTTATTCAATGATAGCTCACTACCGAGCACGTAAGTCTACGTGGCTTTAATACGGAGCACTCCCTAAAGAATTGCACTCTCATTCATTTTTTTTAGAAGCAACAAATCTGATAAACGAAATCTTATAGAGGACCACCTTAGAAGCAAGTATTTTCGGTAGGTTTAAATAATAATAATAATAATAATAATAATAATAATAATAATAATAATAATAATAATAATAATAATAATAATAATAATAATAATAATAATAATAATAATAATAATAATAATAATCATAATCATAATAACAATAATAATAATAATAATAATAATAATAATAATAACAACAATAATAATAATAATAATAATAATAATAATAATAATAATAATAATAATAATAATAATAATAATAATAATAATAATAATAATAATAATAATAATAATAATAATAATAATAATAATAATAATAATAATAATAATAATAATAATAATAATAATAATAATAATAATAATAATAATAATAATAATAATAATAATAATAATAATAATAATAATAATAATAATAATAATAATAATAATAATGATGATGTTTTTACTTGGATTGTTTTCAGTCCTACACCATATCAGATCAGACTTAAATAAACAAGTCTAGACCAGACTTTCATATAAAATACACAAAGACCATATTTTTATCAAACCAGACTAGTTCAAACAAGGACACTAACGCCGAGCATCTTATCAATGAGCCGAGCGCCTTCCCCGGGGCCATGCCCAAATTGGACCTTAATGGTTCTCTTGCAAAGGGTTATTTAGCCGTTTCTATATCGGGTCAATTAACCCAAGACATGGTTCTTACTCCCGGCCTCCGTCCCAAAATGTATGATCGTGGTTGAGTAAGAAAAAAGTAAATGAATGATAACCAGACAAATCTTTTCAAAAGGGGAAACAAGAAGATTTTTTTGGGACGGCCCAAAAAGGTAATTAAGTGGGAAGAATTTTCAGGTACGGAGAGAGTAATTAATAAAGGGAAGTTGTTTAGACTAGCGAGTTTTTTATCTTTTTCTTAAGATGAAATTTTCATGTGATCAATATCTAAATATAAAATGTTATACACACACAACATTTAAATGTAATATCTTGAACATTCCGTCAACTTGGCAATTACAAATGATGGACAAACTGTATTGATCGATAAAGAGTAAGAGCCTGTTTGGTAACCTTTTTTCCGACTCACCAACCTCAACAATCAACTTTTAATTTCACGTACTAAACTGGTTGAAGACTTGAAGTTACTATGGAGGACGATATTTAATTACTTTCATATAATTTTTTATTTAGTTTTTGAGCTTTTTAAAATATATTACAGAAGTGAAACTTAATTACAAAAAATGATTAATAGTTACTATGGTATAACCTCATAGTCACTTAGGTTTACAAATTGAACATAAGTTGCTATGATTAAGTTACTACACTATATATATAGTCACTTGTCACATTTTTGTGAACTACATTTATTATAGTCATATATATGTAATTATATCTTAATTTATAAATAAAAATACCTTATATATAATTTTTCCATAATATAGCATATTCGGCCAATATTTTAAATATAATTTTTCTATAATTTGGTCGCTTCAGGCATAACTTCATAATTATCAGTAGATTCAACTAACTTCAATTCAATTTCAGTGTTATCAAACGAGCTCCAATTAAATCAATCTAGACCAGACTTCCATATTTATAAAATACACAAAGACCATATATTTATCGAACCAGACTAGTATAGATCAGACTTAAACAGACCAGATGAACAAATATCGGTGTAATTAAAAACATCATAACAATCGGTCCAAGTAAAAACATCATTATTATAATAATAATTATTATTAGAACTATTATTGTTATTTTATTATTATTATTATTATTATTATTATTTAAACCTACCTAAAATACTTGCTTCTAAGGTGGAGGTAATAGAGATCGATGGGTCCTCTACCAGAATTCGTTTATCAGATTTTTTTGCTTCTAAAAAATGGAATGAAAGAGCAATTATTAACAGCCACCGAGCCACGTAGACTTACGTGCTCACGAGTGAGCATGTGAAGGGCTTAATAAAATTTCTGTTCCTTAGTGGAGAACAACTTAATTAATTAAGACTCTAATTAATGACCACATGTGTTCTTGGAGTGGGGAAAAAGCTAAGTGGTACATGACGTTTGCTTGCTTTATTCATGATATGCCCCATTCAATTCATATGAAGAGAAAGCAGGGCAGGTTTACTTTCTCACAGCATGGGCATTGATTGATTGATTCTCAAACACTACAAGAAATAACACATTTTGTGACAAAAAATTGTATGACACATAAAAAATTGTCACATTTTATTGACTAATAGTTACAAAACTTGATTTCGTCACTTTAAAATGCTTTCTTATGACAAAATTGTTATGTGTCACTTTAACTCTCGAACTTCGTCACTAATTTATACAATATATGACGATAAAAACAAATTTGTCACTTAAGTTTTTTGCGCCAATTTTTGCCGTCAAAGTTTTGGAGGGAAATGTTTTGGTGACACATTAACAACAATTAATGACGATATAAGTTGTGTCACAGAATTTTATTTATGATGACAAAATCATATTTTGTCACCAATTGTTATATTAAATAATGACAACATTATTTCGTCATGCAAGCTCCATTTTCATGAAGATTAATGTAAATGTGTCATAATTATACTTCTAGCAAAAAATCATGATTAATGTTTGATCAAAATCTATTAATCCAAAATTAATATTAATGAATAGCAACATTGAGATATTGTATTATTTTCCACTTCCTATGTTAATACATAACTTTTATTGTTATTTAAATAGATTATAACAATGACTTTATCAGGGTCGTGTACAACAATTATGAGGTCCTAGACGGTTATATTAATCCTTATGTTTGAATATATTTTTTATTATAGACGAATTTAACCTTACACTCCACTTCTCGGGTGATGTTGGACTTTGCATCCCATTTTTAAAAAAACTTTGACTTTCCACCCCACTATATAACATTTGGTGAAGAAATATTTATGAATGAGGTGCGAAGTCAAAAGATTTTTTAATGAAATGAGATGTAGAATCAAAGTTTTTTCACACTAGAATGCAAAATTCAATATCACACAAAAGTGAGGTGCAAATCAAATTTCTCTTTTTATTAAACAAAACAATACTGGAGTATATAAAATAGAATATCAATTTTATAGAAGTACAATTTTTTGTAGATGTAAATTATACTTTCGTATGTACTTGTACTTTGTATGAGTTTTTTTAAGCAAAAATTGTGTATGAGTTAAAGGACAGCAATAAAACGATCGAGAACAGTACCAGAGCCAGCCGCAAGCGACGGACCCGAGTTAACCCTAGCGCCATCGACGCCCGCTCCGTCGCTGCCCTCCCCGTCCCTGCCCGCTCCGTCGCCGCCCTCCCCGTCCCTGCCCGCTCCGTCGCCGCCCGCCCCATCCCTGACCGCTCCGTCTCCGTGTGCCTCGTTGTCGTTGTCCCCTGTAGCTGACCGCTCTGTCTCCGCCAGCCCTCGTCGAGTCAGTCGTCGTCGACGGTTCGTTCGTTGGTTGCCAGACACTTCTCATCACCGTTTTGGTTAGTGTTCATATTTTCATTCCATTTTGTTTTATAGAATATGTTCGGGATTAGGGAAGCTTGAATTTGTTTTATTACCAGGACTAAGCATACTGACTTTTATTTAAGAAAGTGAGAGTGAAGTTCTCTTTTCCTATAAATTCGATTTAATACAACAACCACTTTCTTTGCATTTTTTCTTAAATACAACTACACATTACAATTTGTCTCCTGCCAGAATCCCCAGACCTTTCAAATGCATTATTTGTGAGTTAAACAAATTCCGGTTTTTTAAAACTTATAATTGTCATATCACTATGATATTGGACTTGAGTTGATGACAATGGTTATATTAAAAGTATGAACTATGAAGTCATCCGATTAACCCTGCCTGATATTGACATCAGTTTTGATTTTAAATTGATCTTCGTAATGAGAAATTATTCTAAACTATATTTTTTAGGGAGGACGCCAAGATTGAGAAAACATAGGTCATCTTCATGATTTGGAGGTAATGTTAACACTTGACTTTGAAATGGTTAAGGTTTGCGATCGACGTCTTACTCATGCTTTGTTCTGTGATTATGAAATCGATAGCTCACTTCTACTTTAGGTTCACATTGCCAAGAGTTAATAGATGAACAAACTCATTTTGTATGGGATTCTCAAAACGCAGAAGGAAGACCAGGCCAGCTGATCATTTTCATATATGGTTCAGACATCTTCTGGAAGAAGGTGATGCATTTTCAGGTTTAAGCAGTCAAGTTTCCTGATTTTTAGAATTACAAAAGGGCCTTGTAATTCTACTGGAGGGCAGGTAAGTGGCTCTCTCTCATGTTTCTTTAAATACTTTTATATCATGTTTTCAGAAGCCTAAACGTTTTGCATGTTATTAGCGAGGAGCAAACTAATTAATATCTAACTCATTATCAAACTACTTTGCTTCGTAGGGCTTGGTATAAGACTGGTTATTGTTTCAGAATTACACTGGATTTGATAACTTCTCCAAGTGTTTGTATGTCTCAGTGAGTGTATTTTAGTTGACTTAATTTTCTGCCTTTTTTTTGTAACTTCACTTTTAGTCAAAGTGGTGAGGCAGGTTAGTTGCGGGTACATGTGCTGTTATTTTCTGTATGTGAATCTTATCCCCACATATTTGTCAACCTTGTTATTCTTAGGGCACACTAGTTAATATATATTTGGATTATCAAACAGATTATTAGATTCTACTAAGTACTAACAATAGTATTCCCTTTAGTGTATCAACTTGAGTACCAAACTACTTCATATGCAGTAATACAGAAGAGGAGTGGAAAACAGAAAATAGAAAAG